TAGAGACGGGGTTTCACCATGTTGACCAGGATGGTCTCGATCTCTTGACCTCGTGATCCACCCGCCTCGGCCTCCCAAAGTGCTGGGATTACAGGCTTGAGCCACCGCGCCCGGCCCCAAATGGTTCTTGTACCTTAAGTAGATGCTCTTGTTCCAGAATTTGCTGTTTTCCAATGGTTTATGTATCTATCAGTCTGCTAATATCATACACTCCTGATTATTGTAGTCTTCAAAGGCTTAGCATGTGGTAGAGAAAGACCCTTCCTAACTTAGTCACTTTGGGCTGCTATAACAAATTACTATAGACTGAATGCCTTATAAAACAGATACTAATTTCTCAAAGGTGTAAAGGCTGGGAATCCACTTTCAAGCAGATCTGTTGTCCTGTAAGGGCGTCTTTCTTGATTTGCAGATGGCAGTCTTCCCCTTATGCCGTCACATGGTGGAGATAATGTCTGTAATGCCTGTTTAGTTTTGGTATTAAGGCAGTTGTATTAGTCCATTTTCACACCACTATAAAGAGCTGCCAGAAAAGACGTTTAATTGACTCACAATTCCTCAAGGCTGGGGAGGCCTTAGGAAAACTTACAATTATGGCAGAAGGGGAAGCAGACTCTTCTCACATGGTGGCAGGCAAGAGAACATGTGAAGGAAGAACTGTCAAACACTTCTAAAACCATCAGATTTCATGAGAACCCATTATTACAAGAACAGCATGGGGGAAACTGCCCCCATGATCCAATCATGTCCCATAATACCTAGGGATTATGTATCCCCTTGATACATAGGGATTATGGGGATTACAATTCAAGATTAGATTTGGGTGGGGACACAGAGCCAAACCATATTATCAGTGTTGGCCTTACAACATGAATTAGAAAGTATTCCCTCTGCTTCTATTTTCTGAAAGAGATTATAGAGAACTGGTGTCACTTTTTCCATAAGTGTTTTCCAGAATTCAGCAGTAAAACCATGCTGGCCTGTTCCTTTTTCTTGGGACTTTTTGTTTGTTTGTTTGCTTGCTCGAAAAGGAGTTTTGCGTTGTTGCCCAGGCTGAAGTGCAGTGGCATGATCTCACTGCATCTTTTGCCTCCTGGGCTCAAGCGATCCTCCCACCTCAGTCTGCTGAGTAGCTGGAACTATAGGCATGTGCCACGACACCCAACTAATTGTGTTTTCTGTAAAGATGGGGTTTCACGATGTTGCCCAGGCTGGTCTTGAACTCCTGGGCTCAAGCATTCTGCCGATCTTGGCCTCCCAAAGTGCAGGGATTATACATGTGAGCTACCACACCTCGCCTACCAGTGCATCCAGGCCGGCCTGGGAGTTTTATTATTTATTGATTTAATTTCTTCAATACTTATAGGCCCTTTCACATTAATTAGTTCTCCTTTCCTGAGTTTTGGTAGCTTGTGTGATTCAAGGAATTGGTCCATTCCATGTATTTATCAACTATGTGGGCATGCAGTTGTTTCTAATACTCCTTTGAAGTCCTTTAATATACATGAGATTAGTAATAATAACCCCCTTTCTTCCGAGTTAGTTTGGGTATGGGCTTATTCATTTTATTGATCTTTTGAAGGAACCAACTTTTGGTTTGTTGGTGTTTTCTACTGATTTCTTGCTTGCTATTTCATTAATACCTTCTCTCCTTGTTATTTTCCTCTGCTTGATTTACGTGTATCTTGCTATTCTTTCTTTAGTTTCCTAAAATGGACAGTTTTTAAGCATTGGTTTTATATCTTTACTTTCTAGAGATTGCATCAATTCTTTAAATTTCCTTCTAAGCACTGCTTTGCTACATTCTAAATATTTTGCTAAGATATATTCTTTTCTATCAACATTGCAGTATTTATATTTGCTTGAGAATTCTCTTTGACATTTTATAGTTGAGAGGTTTGTGACTTAAATCTGGGTTTTTTTAGGCTTTTCAAGTATGTTTCTGTTATTTATTGCTGCCTTAATTATAATATAATTTGATTGCATACTTTATAAAATTTCTATTTTTAAAAATTTGTTCAAGTGTGTTTTATGGTTGAGAATATGGTCTATCTTGGTGCATACTTTATGTGGGCTTGAAAAGAATGTGTAGCCTGCAGGTATAAAATGAAAGAATCTGTAAATACACATCAGTTAAATCCAGTTGATTAATAGCATTCTTGAGTTCAGGTGTATCATTAGTGATTTTCTGCCAAACTAATCTGTCAATTATTGAAAGAGGTGAGTTGTTTTCCTCCAACTGTATTTGTAGATTTGTGTATTTTGCCTTGCGGTTTTAGAAGTTTTTGCCTTATGTATTTTGATGATCTGTGTTTATGGTCATAAATGTTAAGGATTATTATATCTTGTAGGATTGACCTCTTTATCATTATGAAATATCTCCATTGTGTATAATTTTCTTTGACCTAAAATCGTGTTTGTCTGAGTTTAATATCACTGTTCAATATTTCTTTTGATTAGGGCTATAATGGCATATATTTATCCATACCTTTCTGTTTAATGTGTATGTATCTTTCTGCATAAAATGGTTTTCTTATGCACATTGATGGACCTTCTTTTTCATTATCCTCTGCCAGTCCCTGCCTTTTTGTCACATATATGTTATTGTTTTCTATTTATTGTACATTATCTGTTTTTTCAACTTTCTCCTTTCTGCCTTCTTTCACTTTGACTGAGTATTTATATGATACCATATTCTTGCTTCTATGAGTATAGTAAATCTATTTGTTTCTTACGTTTTATTAGTGAGTTCACTAGAGTTGGTAGAATATCATTCACAACTAATGAGCCTTTAGTTTCAAATAACACTATACTGACTTTAGTGCTGGTATAACAAACTGTTCTGAATTCCTTTATTGTATTGCCCAATACATTGCTGATATTATTATGTTGAACAAACCTGTGTCTATTATATCAGATCAGATAGGTATAAGAAAACTAAAGAACTTCAAATATCTTCATTTAATTCTAAGACTCTTCGTGTATGTGTGTGTGATCCAAATTTCTAATCTATATATATTTTTTTCTCTCTGATGAATTTCTTTTAATATCACTGGCAAGGCAGTTATTATCCATTATACATTCTCTTGATTTCATTCCTTTTTCTTTTTTTTTTTTTTTTTTGGGGGGATGGAGTTTCGCTCTTGTTACACAGGCTGGAGTGCAATGGCGCGATCTCGGCTCACGGCAACCTCCGCCTCCTGGGTTCAGGCAATTCTCCTGCCTCAGCCTCCTGAGTAGCTGGGATTACAGGCACGCGCCACCATGCCCAGCTAATTTTTTGTATTTTTAGTAGAGACGGGGTTTCACCATGTTGACCAGGATGGTCTCGATCTCTTGACCTCGTGATCCACCCGCCTCGGCCTCCCAAAGTGCTGGGATTACAGGCTTGAGCCACCGTGCCCGGCTCCTTTTCCTTTTTTTCTCCTCAGTCTAAATAACTTCAATTGTTCTATCTTCATTTTAGCTGATTTTTTACTTTGGTTGCTCACATCTGTTGAACATCTATAGAGAAATTTTTATTTTAGATGTTGTCTTTTGCAGTTTCATAAATTAAATATGGTCTAATTTCTAATTGACATGATTTTATCTGTACATCATTTTTCTGATTTTCTTTTAGTTCTTTGTTCAACCTTGCCTTTACTTCGTTGAACACATTTGAGACAGTTTTCTTTTCTTTTCTTTTCTTTTCTTTTCTTTTCTTTTCTTTTTGAGATGGAGCTTTGCTCTTGTTGCCCAGGCTGGAGTGCAGTGTCACAATGTTGGCTCACGGCAACCTCCACCTCCTGGCTTGAAGCGATTCTCCTGCCTCGGCCTCTGGAGTAACTGGGATTACAGGCATGCACCATGACGCCTGGCTAATTTTGTATTTTTAGTAGAGATGGGGTTTCTCCATGTTGGTCAGGCTAGTCTCAAACTCCCGACCTCAGGTGATCCACCTGCCTTGGCCTCCCAAAGAGCTGGGATTACAGGCGTAAGCCACTGCGCCCAGCCAAGACAATTGCTTTAAACTTTTTATTCAGTAAGTCTAATGTCCAAGTTTCTCAGAGATGGTTTATCTAAATTAAATTTTTTTCATTGATGAGCCATATTTTCATGCTCTTTTATAGTCTTTGTGAATTTTTTGTGTTGTAAAGCAGACATTTGAATGTTATAATCTGGAAATCAGATTCCCCTTCACTGTTCGCTCTTCTGGTTTGTGGAAGGTTTTAATTATTCCTTTGTTTAGTAACATTTTCAGAGTATGTTTGCAGAGACTGTATTCTCTGTCCAGTGTAGACACTGAAGTCTCTGTTCCCTTTGCTTGTGTTCCTCCAGCACTCTGATAGATTTCCTGAATGCCAGCACTAAAAGTAAAAAAGACATGCCAAACAAAAACCTGACCTCTTCCAGTCTTTGTGGATGGCTCTGTGATGCAGTATTTCTTTCTTTTTTTCCCCTCTTTTTATATATTTTCATTTTTTCTTTGTGTTTTGAAAAAATATCTGTGATGTAGTATTTCTTTTTTTTTGAGACGGAGTTTCGCTCTTGTTACCCAGGCTGGAGTGCAATGGCGTGATCTCGGCTCACCGCAACCTCCGCCTTGTGGGTTCAGGCAATTCTCCTGCCTCAGCCTCCTGAGTAGCTGGGATTACAGGCACGTGCCACCATGCCCGGCTAATTTTTTGTATTTTTAGTAGA